TGCTGCTGCCTTTGCTGCCTTTGTTTTTGTTTTCACTCCGCTCTCATGGTCTCAGGATCTGGAGAATACACAAATATAGTCCCAGGCTCTAATAGCAGATGTGAACCCGTTTTAGGCTTATTATTGAGAAGTTTCTGAATTGCGTGAAGTGTTATTATGTTGCTCCGGAATGACAGCACTCAGACAACACTCTATTTCCTTTCTGTTGGCTTAGTTTAGATAAACTCTCAGTTAATTAGCTGCTTTTACACCGGTTCCATAAAACTGCACAGTTGTAGTACAGAGGTTGTTTTGCCACTGGTGTGATCTAAGTGTGACGTGTCACAGAGGCAAAGGTTCAGTGTTTGTCAGTGTTTTGTTTATATTTCAGTTGTGCCCAGAGAAACCTGTCGGGTTCTGCAATTCCCCTATAGCCAAGCAGGAGAACCTTGCTTTGTAAGGATGAGAGGCTACAACGATAAAACAGAAATTTAGAGGGGAAAAGAAAAAAAAAAAAAAAAAAAAGGAGAACCTTGCTTTGTAAGGATGAGAGGCTACAACGATAAAACAGAAATTTAGAGGGGAAAAGAAAAAAAAAAAAAAACAAAACCAAAAAAAAACAACAAACCAAACAAACAAACAAACAAAAAAAAAACCCCAGAAAAAAAAAAAAAAAAACAACAAAAAAAAACCAAAACCCAGAGACATCAGAGTAGGATATACTATAAACCAATAGTGAATCTGTTCTGGAATAGAATATTTTCTTCATATTTTTTTGTAATGACTTTTGGGTTTTTTTGAAAAAAATTTTATATATCACTAGTATTACTATCGTGTAACTATAAATTATTTTAAAAGTTAGCTTTCTCAAAACAGTATTAAGAATAGAAACTATAAAATACAGCAAAGACTTCTGCATAGTCATGTTAAATGTGAAATTAAGCAATTCTGCTTAGTTTGCAGTCTCTCATCTATGAAGCATTGTGAAAAAATATTTTATTTTCCTGAGCTGGGCAGTCATCTAGAGTATTTGTTTTGCTTTTTGAAGGATAAATTGTGAATTCACATTGGTGTACGAGTTTGTGTAAGAGAGATGTACAGAAGTTTAGTAGTTAGGTCCAGGTGTGCTTCACTGCTGGATCCTGCTGTGAACAACTTCAGTCTCCTAAAAATTCCAGGGCAGTACATTCATATGGGTGACTGGACTCCAGGGTGTAAAAAATCTAGTGCCATCCAAGTACTCTTCTGTAAAAACCTTTAAATAATATGTGGCCTTAACAACACTTTTCAAGTAGCTCCTTACAGTCTGGGTTTTTTTAATTTCTTAATTGGTCAAAATTTGCTAGGTTTTAATATTATCCTTTACATTGAGTGTTTTGACTCCCATCACTTGTTTGTGGATTATGGACTTGCACTTCTTCCATTTCACAGTTTTCATGTGTAGATTGTTTCCTCTGCAGTGCTTGAGCTGTCTCAGTTTTAAACAGCACATGAGAAATTATGAAATTCAGTATTTACTTGGAAATTAGTACAATTTCAGATTTTGAAGTATTGTCAAGGTTGCTTTACAGTCAATTCAGGATGATTTCTCATTGCTGAAAGGAAATGTGGTGTTTCTGTCCATTCAAGGTGGGACATGGGAGAAGTAAACATAGTCAACTTAAGGAAGATTGATCATTAAAATGTATCTGGAATTACATGCTTTTTCTGTTGGATAAACTGGGATGGTAGATGTATCCCCTTTTTAGAGACAGTGAGCCTTATGGGACTGATGTTTTGTTGGGTGTGGGTGGTTTGACTTTTCTTCTGAAAGTTCAGTCACTGTTATGTGTATTTAATGGAATTAATACTTGTTTTGAAACTTTGCGTGGCATTTCAGAGAAACACAGCTCTTAGGTCAGGAACAAGTCTGAAATGAGAAGCAGATTCAGGGACACAAGATAGTCAAGTAAAACATCTTTATCTCCCTTACTTTAAAGTTTATACTAATCTGTTAGGGTTTTGATTTTATTTAAGACCTAAATATGAATAAACTAGATGCAGAAAGACTGTCTGAAAAATAAATCTTACAGTGTTCTGATAAAAAACAGCTTTTGATATTTACCTAGGGATGAACATAAAAGTAGTCTGAAGTAAGATATGTATGTAGAAGTGGTCTTAACAGATTGAAAGGATTGTAATTAAAATGAAAATTTTCACTTTCTTTCAGATGCAGCAACAGAACTCCATGTGTCCAATTCTAGACTCAGAGAAATAGAAAGTATTAATGCAGCACAAAAGCTTGAAGTAAGAAATTTTGGATCATTATTTTGTAATTAAATGCAGTGGTTATGATTTGTTTTGCATGAAGTTGAAATATTGCACTGAAATATCCTGGGTAAATCCAGGAACAAGGGTGACAGTGATGTTAGAATGTGACTCTGGTTTTGTGCCAAACTGCCATCACAGTTTGGAACACACATTTTATTTAGGGACAGACATGTTTATTGGGCTATGCATGTGTGCTGCAAGTTTTCATCTTTTGCTGACTGTGACTGTTCCTGCCCTGTCAGGAGGACTTGGTCTGCAGCAGTAGGCTTGGCTCTGAAAAGAGGGGGCATTTTCCCTGGTCCTGTTCTCTCTCTGTTGTCCTGCTGTTTGGGCATTCTCACATAGGCTGCTCGTGCCTCTCCAAAACCACTTCAAAATCTCATGTACCCTCATGGAAAGTGACTTTCTGTGCTCTTGAATAGGACTTGTTGGTCTTGTGACTTTCTTTATGTCCCTAAATAAACAACTTTCATGTATACCTTCAGGCCTCAAGAGGATTGTGAAGTTAAGGTACTATTTTGGGGACATAACTGTTCCTGCTTGTCCTCTTTCTAGTTTCTTGCCATCTGCTCTTGCCTGAGGTCAGAGAGAAAACACTGGATACTCGCTCCAGTTTGTGGTTTGTGACTGTTCTTAAATTCTACCTGTGGATCTTGCTAAGATGTGACTCAGTCCTGACTTTTTTAATTCTTGGCATTTATCTCTGGTCATGGCAGCCCTTTTTTCTGGAAGTGAGCTGGAGTCCATGCCATATAAAAATGGAAAGCTTGGACATAACCGTCATTTGGGGCCCACACATTGCTGTTACTGTGTGTTTTGAATGAAGTAGCATGAGAACCAATTTAACTTCTTTGCTGTCCAGTAACTTTGTGCTTTTCTGATTATTTAAGGACTGTTCTAAGTTTACCAACACTCATTTCTCATTTTTGCTAGAATGATAGACTGAAAAAAGTCTGTAGTGACTTAGAAGAAAAGCATGAAGCAGCAGAGCTGCAAATAAAGCAGTTGTCTATCGAGTACCGCAATCAGCTTCAACAGAAGGAGGTAAGACACAGAGTAAAATTTCTCAGTATGTCCAATAAACTTACCTGTTGTGCTGTTTAATGCCTTTGTTCTAGTGTCTGTTCTCTTCCAGTGGAAATACTGGTCACAGCTGTAGCTTCTTGGTTTGTTAATGTAGACTAAGACATATTTCATCAAATCCTGTAATGTAAGCCAAGCTGCCAGGAGATAATTGAGACGAGAGAAAACACTCAGGGAATGTCGTGCAGCTGTCAGAATTTCTGTTGTTTCTGGGATCCCTGTGAGAACAGACACTCTGCTGCTTTCTATTTCTGATTCTGTTACTTTAAAAGAAGGCAACAGGAACAAATTCCCATTTGAAACAATTGTTTTGTCTTTAGGTATCATTATTTATCTTAACATTTATTAGGCATCATTATTTATCTTAACATATACAATTAAAGAGAACAGAGCTAGCTTTCAAAATTCATGAAATGTCCCTTCGTGATGGAAGCATCAGCTTTATAGGCTATTGTATGAGATTTCCTAGACCTAAATGAAGAAAGTTGCCAGTATGCTGAAATTTTCACATAAAGGAGTTTCATTTCTCATTTGTTCACAAATTCATGTGGGAACTAGAGGAAGCAGAACTATGAGATGTATGAAATTCTTGTTGTCAAATACAGTAACAGTTGTTACAAGAAAATTACATGAAGCTAATTTCTCTTTATTGTAAGAAAGTAAGTTTCCACTACATTGAGTTGTTAAGCATAAAAGAAATCACATGTAATAAAAATAACTAGAAATCATGAAATATTGCTTAACTTTCATATCTGAATACTCTCTTTTATATTTAATTTTTTTTTGTATAACTGGTTAGCCTGGATATTGCTGTACTGCATGTGTACCTTTGCTGCTAAAAAACCCATGTCTTTGTTTGAGGTACTTCATAACACTTGAGCTAAGGATGTTTTTTTTTTCTCCATTATGAAAATTATTGGAGTTTTTTTTTTCTTTTTTTTTAGTGAAAGTGATCAGTTATTTGTGCTGGGGGTGTTGTTTAGTTCACATTTCATAAGGCCACAAAGGGTAGAGTATATTTTGATATTCTTCTTATTCAAACAATGCATTTTATCTTGTATATCCAGGTGGAAATCAGCCATCTAAAAGCCAGACAGAATGCGCTACAGGAACAGCTGCAGAAAGTACAGACAGCTCAGCTGGGAGCTGGTGTTTTGCCAGCAGCCACTGCATCAGCCTCCTATGTTCCAGAGGTCAGACATTCCTCAGGTTTTGAGGGAGATGACATGGATTTTGGAGATATAATCTGGTCACAACAAGAAATAAACAGATTGTCCAATGAAGTTTCCAGGCTGGAATCTGAGGTTGACCACTGGAAGCAGATTGCAGTGGTGAGTGGTTTCTCTTCTACACTGTCCTTCTCTGTCCACTCCAAATTATTGTTTGCATTGCACTTGGTGGATTTTTGCAAGTCTAGAAGCAACATGTTGTGATGGTAAAGCTGAAACCTTTTTTGCTGTCACATCAGTAAGAACACATTCAGTGACTAACTTCCGAATGCTTTTTTGCTATGCTTTTATGCATGATTTGTCAAGTTAGGTAAAGGATTTAATGAACATTCACCTAGAATGGCTCTTCAGGGTTTCATTGCTGTTCAGCCTTTCAAATAATACTTCCCTTCCTCTTGGCTATGTCAATAATTTTTATTGCTAGCACAGTACTGTTCAAAGTAGTGGTTGGATAATTGAATGCTTTTATACTTTCTCTTCTCCCAGTCCTTGGTATGTCAGTTATAATTCATGGTCTGTTGAGACAAAAATAAATATAATCTTTCAAGCTGCTGCTGCTGTGAGTTACCATTTTTCAGGTATAGCCTGATTTCAGAGATATACTTTTCCCATGTGAAAATACTCAAAACTAAGCAGCCCTGTTGTCTTACTATGAGCAATAACACCCCCACTCCAAATTTTTACCCATTATATGTAATAATGTAGTAATAAAATCCATGAAAAACTAAAATATTTCCATTAAAATGTATTTTTTTAAATACAGAATTACAGGGGATTTTTATTTTGCTGCATGTTAGATTTGTTGTTTTCTATTTTTGAGTATCAATTGAGGAACCACTTTGATAAAAAGTGTATTGTATTTATCATATGTATTTATATGTATTTATCATATTTTTCATATGGATATGTGGTTTGGGTTTTTTTAGTCTTCCAAAGTGCAAGGCACAAATGATGCTGAACAAAGTGAAATATGCAAACTACAAAATGTTGTTAAGGTAAGATGACAAACTTGTGCTTTACTCTTGATGGTTTTGCATGTGGTGTAAATGGTGTATGGTGTATGGTTTTGCACATGACTTGTAAATATTTTAACTAACACTATTATAACATCATTAAAAATGCATGGGGGCATGTAGTAGCATAGCAACCCTTCATTCAGCTGTACAATATTTTAAAACAGTTGCTCTGAGAAAGGGTGTTTGTATGATTTGATAATTACAGTATGTTGGCTTGAAACAGTGACATTAGTATTTACAAGGGCAAATCACTTGTGACACAGTTGATCAGCTATGAAACTGTATTTTAGATATACAGAATATTTTCTCCCTTCTCAGAAACATGTTAACTTTTTTTATTGAAGGTGTAAAATATAGCTTTTACATGTCATCCTATAAAGTTACTAAAAATGCATTCTAGTGTATCCACTTCGTATGTAAGACTTGTAATTGATTTACATTAGTTTAGTATTTGCTCTTGTGGAGAGCATACTATTTGTGTAAATATATTTTTTAAAGGAATTTCTTTCCACGTGTTTAAAAAATCCCAATCAACAAAGATCAAATAACCTGACTTCTGTGAGAAATCCTTCAATAAATCCTTGAATTAGACCGGGGGAAACTTCTTTCTTTTGTATTGTAGTATTTCTTACATAAGAAGACACTGTGCTGTGTTTTGCCATTTTGTTGCTCTAATGATATTTTTAGGAGCTGAAACAGAATTTAAGTCAAGAAATAGATGAACATCAGCATGAGCTGTCAGTGCTGCAGGATGCCCACAGACAGAAGTTAGTAGAGTTAAGTCGTCGGCACCGAGAAGAGCTGCGCGAATATGAGGAGCGAATTGAGGAACTTGAGAATCGCTTACAGCAAGGTCTCTGTTACCACATGCTTTCTGTTTATTCTGTGTGGGCTGGATTTGGGTTAAAATGCTGAATATGCATGTGCCAGTACAATATATATCAAATACATGATGTTTAGAATTTAAATTTAAATTTGAATTTCAGTTCAGCTTCATGTTTAAGACACGTGTCCCGTATCTTTTATTCACTCTGGTTGGCTTGAGCACTGGAATGATAGCATTTCATCTGTGGAATGTATCAATCTGAAGGGTCATTTTGCATACATACCAATTGTTGTGCTCTGAATTTTGCACTTTCTGGGTTCTTTTTTTAACTTAAACTGATTATAGGTAAGGATAAGACATACTGAATTGAAGATAACAAAGTTACAGGACAAAAAAATAACTTTTGGGAGAATTGGAGAACTATGTGCCAGTTGGGTTACTTGACGAAAGCTCAAAGATTGGCTGGTGAGACAGTGGAACACGTTGCCTGGAGAAGTTGTGGATGCCCCATTTCTGGAAGTGTTTGTGGCCAGATTGGAAAGGACCTTGAGCAACCTGATCTAGTGGGTGGCATTGCTGCCCACGATGATGCAGGTGTTGAAATGAGATGTTCTAAAGGCCCTTCCAACCCAAACTATGCTGTGATTCTATGATTGCTGCAAGGACCACACCTTAGTGTGTGGCATGACTATAATGCAGAAGCTCAGGAGTTCCTACAAATAACTTTTTGTTGCCCTGTAAGTGCTTCATCCTCCCTAGATATAGTCATGCCAGTTAGGTTTCCTCAAGAGGCTTCTTTGTACAAATACATAAGCTTTACCTCTAAACCTCTGTATTTACCTGGAAAAATTTGAACTTCTAGAGAGTATATTCTCCTTTTGGAACAAGAGATCTATTCCCTTCTTGGAAAGAAGGGAAGTTTTTTTTTACAGCTTGTCTAACTTTAAAGGTAGTACTGATAGGGAATTTATTTCTTAAAATCAGATGCCTGTTAAGATATAACAGGTTTTTTCACTTCACATACATACACCACCAGCAGGACTAATATAAGGAAGTTGAAGGCAGAAGTCCCTTATCTTTTACATCACCACTTTTCTGCAAAATAAATGCTGCTAGTGGCTTTTGAAGAACTAGAATATTTTTTATTTTTATTTTGGTCATTCTGTCTGACAACATAATAGGGACTAGGGCAGGGTCAGGGTTTAAGCTGACACAAAAGTGAATTCACAAGTAGTGTGCTTTCATTTAACTTTTTTTTTCTGCACTCTTCTGATGATGCCTTTTTGTACTGTCTGACATATCTGGAAATTATAGAAGATTGTACAGAAATATGAATGTCAGTATAGTGTGAGAGTATGATGGATCTGCAAAAAGGTTAATTCTGAAAAACATTTTTCTTCAGTTGAAAACCTTTGTGCGTCATTTAGCAAATTATTTGGAGGGAATTTTTCTCTGTAACAACTATTTTGCAAACCTTTGAAATGTAATTAATCAAATTATAAATGGATTTTGCATCAATCTGAATTAGATGGGATTTGATAAATTATTCTTAGAAAATTGAGAGATTCCAAATCCTGATAAATTAGATTCTCATCTCCTCACCAAGAGGGGATCAAGTACATTCTAAATTGCAAACTAAATATATATGTGTCTTGCAACACTTATATTTAAAATTGTCTTGAGCCATGCATGTGAAAGTATTCAAAAAGCTCCTTGTCCTACCAGTAATGTGTGTAGCACAGCTTCAAGTGTTAAACCTATTTAACCAAGCTTTCTGTTAATGATGACCTGTCTTTGTTTTAGTCTGTCTCCCTCTGCCAGGAGAAGAGGTGAAAGAAAAGAAGCAAAAGATCTAGAGTGATGGTTTTGGTTAATAATGCAAACAATCTCTTTTGTCTTTTAGATGGTGTGAGCACTGATGCCATGGATGACTCTAAAATTACTGAACAGAAAAGAAAAGCTCAGAGTCCAGATGGAGGACAGGTGGAAGAATTGCGGGTTGTAAAGGACCTAGAGGATGAAATAAGAAAATTAAATCACCAATTATCTTCTGCCAAAGCAGAAAACAAAAATCTTCTGAAAGAGCAAGAATTTGCAAAGCTAGAAAAAATCCAAATAGCACAAGATTATGAAAAGCTGAAATCTGACTTTGATGCACTTCAAAGGTCTGTGGCAGAGCAAGATGCTCTCCTGGAAGAACAGAAGCAGCCCCAGTCAAAGACATCACTACCACAAGATGTTGTCAGCCTACAGCAAGCATTGTTAGGTACTAAGACTATGATTTTTTTTACTATTATTTTTTATTTCTAGTATATTTTCAGAAGTTTTCACTTCTAAAACTCAAAATTTATTTTATGAATTTAAAACTGAATATGAGAATATGTACCTTTAAAGTATTGCTGTTCTAGAAAAGCATTGTCCATTGAAGTAGGATGAAACAGAAAAGAGAATCGTGTTAGGACTACTGTGGTTGTCATAGGGGCTTCTGATTAGGGAAGTAATCATGTCTGCCAACTGTTTGGTAGGAGTTTTTGTCTTTAAAAGTAAGTAAGCCTCAATAGAAGTTGTTTGTTTAAATTCAAAAAGTACATTTTTTGTGTGTGTGTATAAATACACTCAGTTGCTAATATCTTCTCCTTAAGGAAACACTAACATCCCTGTTTAAGAAACATATCTGTAGGTTCAAAATGTTGTAATATTTCATAACTGATGAACTCTAGTGCCAAAGTCCCCCTAATGTGAGATGAGTTGTGAAAGTAATAATCTGCTTTGAGGTGGTGACTGATGGTATGTTTGAGTGTTTTATGGCACTCATGCTTGTCATCACAAAATGCTGTGAAATTATCCTCTTTGAGCAGCAGAGTTCTGTTTCAGCAAGGTGGGAGAATGTTTTTGTTTTATAGTTGTTTGAAAAGTAGTAAATTATCTATTGGATTTCATTTTCCTTTATAGAAGCAGAAAATGAAATAGCAAGACTTTCCAGTTTAAATCAGGTAAAGCAATTTCTAAATTGTTTTTTTCTTTTTTTTTTAACATTTGCATTTCTACATAAATAACAATGTCATATAAAAGGAAGTAATTGTAGTTTAGTTCTGTAATTATATGTGGAATTTATAGAAACAATACATTTTTGCTTGTGAAACTCCACAGTGTATTCTATAAGAAAACCATTCAAGTTCTACCCATGTCATTATTGCCCAGAAACCTGTAACATACATTTTCAATGTACTAACAGTACATTCTGTAAAATATGTCATTTTTCACTTCTGCTTTAGCATGTTTCAGTTTTAGCACTTACCAGTTGTGAAATATTTCTCTTCTGTGTAGTACTCATAATAATGCATTTCATCTTACTGATGAAGCGAAGCAGTGGAACATATCACACCTTTAGTTCTTGGTGGTGTTGTCTTGGTCCTTTATGAACTCTTAGGCTTGAGAGATTTGGTTTGTTTTACTTTTATCCAGTAGCATTTTTCAACTGAGTTTTTCTGTGTTTCGCATGCATTCACGAGTTCCCATAGCATTGTTCATAATGATGTTGTTTAGATGCCCGTGATTAAAACTTCTGTCTCACTATGCAGCCTGGCTGTGTTTAGGGTGGCTCTTGCAATTATAATAATTTATCCCAGCTGTCAATTCATACCTCAGAGGTGGACATAACTTCTTACCATACCATGGCTTTTTTGCAGAAGTTTATGCACTTAAACCAAATGATGAAGAAATAAATATGTATGTGTGAATGGTAGAGAGAAATACTTCGCAACAAAAAAATTTTAACTGGGGTAGTGTTTATTCAGGCTTAGAGTTCTAATGTAATTTCAGCAAGATAAAGTCTGATATTTACTTTTTTTATTTTATTTTGAGGGACTTGAGAAGGAACTGACAAGTGCACAACATAAACATGAGAATATTCTTTCTTCGAATACAGAGGATCAGAATTCAGAAATAAATCAGTTAAGACAAGATTTGGAAAGGAAAGAACATGAATTAGATGAAAGTATTGCTGAAAGAGAAACATTAATAGCAGAGTTGGAAGAACTAGACAAGCAGAATCAAGAAGCTACTCAGGTAATAAATACTGCAACTAGTTACTGAACTGCTGGATAAATGTTTTGAGTTCTGTGTGTGTATGTTTGTCTTTTAAGTTGATCTTTGAACATAGATAGCAGGGAAATATAAGTTATCTTTTGAGGCCTAAAAAACAAATACTTGGGGCCAGTATTTCTCTCTATCTACCATCTCAATGTGAAATTCAGAAGTGCAAGTAAAACCCACTTGTTATAGACAAAAAAGAAATAACGGCATGTCAGCTATCCATAAGAGATGTTACTTTATGAAGTCCAGTTAAATAGTCCTTGATTTTTCATTGCAACATTTCTGATGAAATTTATCCTGATAATATTCTGATCTGTCTTGTGATATTGTGCATTACAATGATTTTTGAAACTTTTTCCTTTTGGATTTTTAATTATGTTGGATATTTAAGTTACTTTATTGCAAGTTCTTTATAATGTGAGCATTCGTGAAATAAAAAAGCCACCAATTATATATAATTATACCTCTTTGTCAGAGTTCCAGTATATTTGACCTGTAATTTGAGCTGCAAGCCATGTGTTTTCAATTTTATTGATTTACCAATGAATCACCTATGAAATGAATCCAAAGTTGAAACAAAAAGTTGAAAATAGAATATACAGATAACTTAAGTGTAATGCCACCCTTTTTTTAGCAGTGGATGTTTGCTGAATTCCACATGTCTTGACAAATTCTGCCAGTTCTTTTTTTTAAACAAGTCTTTTTTTATTTCTTCATTTAGGCAGTTATGGTTCTTTTAAGGGTGGTGTTGGGGTTTTTTTCTTTTTTTTTTGGTAGTGTAATGTAATCTGTTCTTATTTGACTTGGTTTTAATTAATTTAGCACTGACTAGTTGATCCTACTTATGTTGGCAACTAAGAGACATTGTTTTCCTCTCAATGTTTTTTATTGTTTAGAGGATAGAAGTGAATGAAATGCATAGTTCAGCTGCTTTTGCTCCCCTAATGAATTCTGGTTTGTGTTCATTTCTAGCATATGATTACATTGAAAGAGCAGCTGTCGAAGCAACACACAGAAACTGATAGTATCATCAAACAACTGAAACTTGACATAGATTGTGAAAGAAAGAAGGTATCAGAATTAGAAACTGAGAAGGTGAAAGCTATTAAAGAGTTAGATAGTCAGAAAGAAAAACTAAGCCACTGTTCATATGCACTTAATGATTTGCATATAACTAAGCAGCAGCTACAAGACAATATTAAAGATCTTCAGGAACAATTAAGAAAAGCCCATGAGTGTAATTCACAGAGTAAAAAAGAAATTGAAGAGTTGCAGCAGAGACTAAAAGAAAGAGAGGAGGAACTTTGTGTATCCTTGAGCAAGTTAACAGAAAAAAGTAATGAGGAATCTAACCACACTTGTCAAGATCTGATTCTGAAAGACAGAGAAGTAGAAATTGCAAAACTACAGAATGATGTTTCAGAAAACAAACGAATAAATGAAGATCTACAGAAATCGCTGTCTAATCTCAGAATAGAAAATGGAAAGCTGATGGCAGCCATTGAAGAACTAAAACAGGAGTTAAGTGATGCCATTTCTGAGAAAAAGAAAGTTCATTTGGAAAAAGACACTCTTGTAGAGGCTTTGAAAATGGAGAAAAGGCAGTTGGAGAGTGAATTAAACGAGACAGAGAAGAGGCTTTTGGAACAAGCACGTAATTATGAGAAAACTATTGAGGATCTGTCAAAGGCACGAAGTATGGACACCAGTGCCCTGCAGCTCGAGCATGAGCGCCTGGTGAAGCTTCATCAAGAGAAAGACTTTAAGCTTGCTGAGCTTAAAAAGACCATTGAGCAGATGGAACTTGACCATCAAGAAACAAAGGAGATGTTGACTACTAGCTTAGGAGGACAAAAGCAGTTGACAGATCTCATAAAAGAGAAAGAGGTATTCATTGAAAAATACAAAAATCAAGCCTTACAGGCGAAGCAGGAACTTGAGGAATATATGAAAGTTTCAAAAAAGCAGGATGTCTTAAAACAGAACTTGGAGGAAAAAGACAGAAGTCTTGCAGTCATGAAAGAAGAAAATAACCATTTGAAAGAAGAAATTGAACGGCTTAAGGATCAGCAAAGTAGATCTACACCTGTGGTTGAGCCTAAAACTTTAGATATTATTATTGAACTTGAAAGTGAGGTAACACAGTTAAAAGTGATAAAGAATAATCTTGAAGAAGAAATAAAAGTTCACAAAAAAACAATAGAAGATCAGAATCAAGCAACAGTGAAGCTTCAGCAGTCACTGCAGGAGCAGCGAAAGGAAATAGATGAGTCCAAATTGCAGTGTCAGCAAATGAATGTCACACACGAAAGACTCTTTTTAGAAAAAGATGAGGAAATCAAAAATTTGCAGAAAACAATTGAACAAATTAAAACTCAGTTGCACAAAGAGAGACAGATTATTCAGACTGATGCTTCTGATCTTTTTCAGGAAACCAAGGTTCAGACTCTTAATGGAGAAAATGGAAATGAAAAGCATGACTTATCTAAAGCTGAAATTGAAAGACTGGTCAAAGGTATCAAGGAAAGGGAGATGGAGATTAAGCTGTTAAATGAAAAGAATGTTTCTCTAAGTCAGCAAATTGATCAGCTGTCTAAGGATGAAGTTGGTAAACTTACTCGGATCATTCAAGAGAAAGATTTAGAAATACAAGCTCTTAATGCTAGAGTTTCCTCAGCTTCCTACAGACAGGATGTTCTTTCCCTTCAGCAGCAGCTGCAGGCTTATGTTCTGGAAAGAGAACAAGTACTAGCAGTTCTAAGTGAAAAGACAAGGGAGAACAGTCAGTTAAAAACAGAGTATCGTAATATCATGGACATGGTTGCTGCTAAAGAAGCAGCTCTGGTGAGGTTGCAGGAGGAGAACCGGAGGTTATCCAATAGATCTGAAAACAGCAGTCAAGACATGTCCAGAGAAACTATTCAGAATCTATCCCGTATCATCCGAGAAAAAGACATTGAAATAGATGCCCTAAGTCAAAAATGCCAAACCTTATTGACTGTCTTGCAGACATCCAGTACAGGTGCTGATAATGGGGCAGGGGGTGTGAACAGTAACCAGTTTGAGGAACTTCTGCAAGAACGTGATAAACTGAAACAGCAAGTAAAGAAAATGGAGGAGTGGAAACAACAGGTAATAACCACGGTCCAGAACATGCAGCATGAGTCAGCCCACCTCCAGGAAGAGTTGCACAGGCTGCAAGCACAAATTTCAGTTGAAAGCGATAGTACTTCAAGGCTGCAGGTAGATTATAATGGCTTGATTCAGAGTTATGAACAGAATGAGAAAAAGCTGAAAAGTTTTAGCCAGGAATTAGCACAAGTTCAACACAGCATAGGACAGCTTTATAGCACTAAGGATCTTCTCCTGAGCAAACTGGATTTGGTAACGCCATCTGTGGCAACAGCTGCCACCGTTTCACAGCTTTCAGGTGTTCAATGCAGTCCTCCTGAAGCACTTAGTGAGGAATCTAAACTCCTTCAAAATGAGTTGGAACAACTGAAAAAAAAGTTACAGGAAAAAGATTCAACTATCAGGATTCTTCAGGAAAACAATCAGCGATTATCTGATTCTGTTGCTACAGCATCAGAGATTGAAAGAAAGAGTCAAGAAGGAACTGAATCAGAGATGAGACAGATCAAAGAAAAACATGATGTGTTACAGAAGTCACTAAGAGAAAAAGATATATTAATTAAATCTAAAAGCGATCAGTTACTTTCCGTGAGTGAAAATCTTAGTAACAAAGAAAATGAAAATGAGCTTTTGAAGCAAGCTGTAACTAATCTAAAAGAAAGAAATTTAATTTTAGAAATGGATATTCGAAAACTGAAAGAAGAAAATGAAAAAATAGTTGCAAGGTGCAGGGAAAAAGAAACAGAATTCCGTGCACTTCAGGAGACTAATATGCAATTTTCAATGATGCTGAAAGAGAAAGAGTTTGAGTCTCACTCAATGAAGGAAAAAGCTCTTGCTTTTGAGAAGTTGTTGAAAGACAAGGAACAGGTATGTACATTGATACTTATGACTATCTCCTCAAAGTAGATGGATTCAAAGTAATATGCTTCCTGGATATTTTTCTGTGTTGCAGGGCCATAGATGTCCTGCCCTGTTCCTTGTTAGATTAGTTGTATCTTTACACTCTTCCTGGCAAAGACTATGCCTCAGGTAAAATTGTTGGCCATGTTTGAAATATTTGTTTATGTCTTCAACAGGGCAAGACAGGAGAATTGAATCAGCTGTTAAATGAAGTTAAATCAATGCAGGAAAAGGCTGTTACTTTTCAGCAGGAGAGAGACCAAGTGATGGTAGCACTCAAACAGAAGCAAATGGAGAGCAGTGCTCTGCAGAGTGAGGTACCACCAAATCATTTATAGTTGCAAGAAATAAATGAAAAACAAGTAAGAAATTACATCTGTAATATTTTTTGGGTTATTTTAGTAGCAGTTACTTGTTAAAAGCATTTAAAATTAATACACTTGCAATGTGCTTCAATAGATATGCGTTACATTTTTTACTTAATTTTTTTTATATGAAGTGGCAGTCCAAGCAACTTAAGGTATGTTCTACACAGGTGCAGCATTTGCATGAGAAGGAGCAGCGCCTAAATCAGGAACTGGAGAGGCTGAGGAATCACCTTTTGGAAATGGAAGACTCATACACCAGAGAGGCTTTAGCTGCAGAAGACAGAGAGGTCAAGCTAAGAAAAAAGGTTTTGATTTTGGAAGAAAAACTTGCATCCTCATCTACTGCAGTGGAGAATGCCAGGTAGTCTTAAATATCACAGTTAACTAAACTGATGCTCATGCCTCTATTATACTGAGCTGCTATCCTGTAGCATACTAAGCACTTGAAAAAACAAAAAGATTAGGAACATTTGTTACTCAGAATCATGAGAGTGATTTGAAATATACTTGGCTACTGTCAAGAATTTAATGTATTTCTCCTTTCAGTAACAACTGTTGAAACCTTACATCATCAACAGTGCTTAGAACTAGAAAAAAAATCCTTAACCCATCAATTTAGCTGTGTGTTAAAGTTTGAAAGAGTCTTATTTTATATTCTTCAGTACACAAGTGTGCATTGTATGTGACTGTCGTGACTTGTGAATTGCTTTAGAGACACTTACACGTTAGTACTTTGTGCCTGATACCATGGAAAGTATACACTGCTGAGAACTTACTTCTTCATGGTGTAAACATATAGAGCAAGATGCACTGAATTTCTCATGAGCAGCAGAATCTGGGAGGCTAGAATATTTTAGCACAATGGGAAATTCAGTGGAGCATTCAGTCATTAGTAAGTAGGAAGATGTACTGTGTTCTTGGAGACTGGGGTTAAAAGTAAAACATAGCAGAAAGACCTATTCATTCTTAGTAATTGAAGCAGACAACTAGGAAGATACAGATTTTTTTTTTATAAAGATGCTGTTATAATAATGAACAAAAACTAGGATTTTTTAAAATGCATTTCAAATAAAAGAAGTTCATGGGGATTTTTTTCTTTGATCTTCAAAATTTTGTTGCCAGACTTCTTTTAAATCTCTTTTTAGGTTGGTTTTGTTTGTTTTTAAAGAGGAATTGGGGGGGAAACACCATAATTTTTGTAAATTGAGCTCAAAAATTTTGTTAAGATGTTTTTTGGTGGGATTTAATTTTCACTGTGATAACTTCTGTTATTTAAGTAATGCATCTTGTTTTCATTAAGCCATCAGGCTAGTCTGCAAGTTGAATCTTTGCAAGAGCAGTTAAACCTAGTGTCCAAGCAGAGGGATGAAACCATGCTGCAGCTGACCATCTCCCAGGACCAAGTGAAGCAGTATGCACTGTCTCTGGCCAACCTGCAGATGGTACTAGAGCAGTTCCAACAGGGTAAGCTTTGTCCAGAAGTAGCAAAGATTGCAACAAGTATTTTGCAGCTGGATAGTTACCATATTTTGGTGCTTTTGAAGTAGTAATTACCTCGTTTCCTTTTTGATAGCCTGAATTTCAAAATCTGTTCTCTATTAAAAACTTGAAAAAAACTATTCTCTGAAAACTGTTGATCAATATCACATTTATGGAATTTGAATTCCACCTCTATCTCATGAAGACCAGATATGAAAATGCTGAGGTTTTGTAATTGCATATCCCAAGAAGAGTTACATGTTGTAAATTAAGATAGTTTTGTTTTGTCTCTTATTTTTAATTCTTTAGAAGAAAAAGCTATGTATTCAGCAGAGCTGGAGAGACACCAAAAACAGAGTGCAGAATGGAAGAAGAAAGCAGAAAACCTAGAAGAAAAAGTTGTATCACTGCAGGTGGGCTGAATAATGAAATTGAGACTTGTGAAACTAAATTGTAATTCTTCACTGAGCAAGCAAAATAGCATTTTTCTGCTGACACTATTTTCTGAGATGTTTACAATCCAGTTATTTGAAAGAACAAGTAATTGCAGTCTCTTCATCTGTTGTGCATGATGTGTGTGGTATTAGGGTAATGTGATAGTGATCTCCCTGCTTCTCTTTTTTTTTCTTTTTCCTTTCCTACCCTCTATTTAGGAGAGTTTAGAAGAGGCAAATGCTGCTCTGGATGCAGCATCCAGGCTTACTGAGCAGCTTGACATCAAAGAGGAGCAGATTGAAGAACTTAAGAAAGAAGGTAACTACATTTTTTTTTTATTTCTGCTTAAAATATTTCAACAGCTGAGGAGATAATGTAATATTCCTAGAAACTTACCAAAATTCATATCCTATGAGGGACTAATTCTGTGCCTCAGAATTTTTTTGATGGCTTCCTTGCTTATAAAGCAAATATGAAAAAGTATATTTACCTTCTGTTAGACATCTTTCTCAAAAGAAAGCCCTGTAGAAGTTTTTTGGATTTTGGGGGTTTTCCCCTGTAAATACCAAGACACTTGAATTAGCTCTGTGTCTATTTTAAAGGTTGGTGAAATGCTAAATGTTGTCAGATTTTCCAAAGTAGCTACCATATTTGGCATAGATACAGAGCACAGTGAGGTAAAGGTGTGCAGTGGGTACAAGACATGGAGGCAGCAGCTCTTGCACAGATGTGACTGCAATCTCTGCTGGGTGCACTGGTAAATCATGCTTTGAGCATATGCAGCTAATTATTGCTATTATTGCTATACCTTTTTGAATGCTCATAAGCCTTACTCTTGTAATAAGTGATGTTTTCTTGAAGCATTCTTGCTTATGACAGATAGGTGGTGTGAGATCTCCTTTGAAAATCTTCAAGATTCCAGCAAGAGCTCTACAAAAAACAGTCTATTGCTTTTCTGCTACATATTTGGATGTGTACTTACTTAAATTTACTTCTCTCCAATTTGGCATCCAAGTGGGCATCATAGATGTGCTCCCTGAGTTCACATATGAATTTTATAAGCTCAATTAAATTTCAAACTGCTACAAAATGTACAACTACCGATCTGTTTTTGAATTGACTGATCTGTATATCTATGTCTCACTACAGATATTCACAGCAAAAGTTCACAAGTCCTGCATTGAAATTAACTTTGGCATAGGCAAATACTGCTTTTAAGTGGGAAGTTCTTCATTACTATTTATTTTGTTGTTAAAACCTTGCTTAAGAAAGCAGGAGGGATTTAAACTCACAGAGAAAACTGAGTGTCAAGCAGTGTTGTATTGGCAAGCAATGTACTTGATAAAAAAATTGAAATGGAATTGCTGCATAAAGGAAACAGCACTTTAATGTTGTTGTAGGGTAAATAATGACTGTTATAGAAAGAAAAAATAACACTTCGTATTCTCTATTTATACAAGAAAACATAAAATGTCTTACTGCAAATTGGCCAAATACATTCCCAGACACAGTTTTCTTAGCCAAATCTTTTGAAGGATTTCTTCATGGATTTTTTGGCAGAAGAAGTGATTTTAATGGAAAAGTATAAGATGTACCAGATGCAGTTTTCTGGATTGCCATAAATGGTTAACAAATTATTGGACACTGTAAATGTCTGGTTTACAGCAGTCCATGCTCAGTTTTGGCTCAGGACCTTTTTATTACTTAGTCTTTTCATACACCCCAAGTACATGTTTAAGTCCTTTTCAGCTATAGGATTCTATTTTAGAGGGAAATGTTCTATTTAAAAAATATGTTTAAGATAAAGTTGCATAATCACTGTGTAGTGGTCCTGAAAAGTTGATCCTCTTTGGTATCAATTTTCATTTAAATTATTAACGCTTTTAATTTTTTTTGAATTATTAATACTTTTGTTTTAAGATCCATCATAAAGGAATACATGAAATTAATAAAAATTGAGAAAGCAACTCAAAATTGTCTTGCTTTGTAGAGAAATAGCAACAGTGTAAAATTTAATTGAAATTTGTTTTCAAATGCTGCTTGTTTATCTTTTTGTGGCATTGGTAGTATGACTCTCTATTCCCTTCTATTCTGTGGACATGCAAATAACAACTCACCTATGTATGCTCCTGCAGCTTTATCATTCTATAATCATATTGCCTATGTTTTCCTTCAAGTATTGGTGTCCTATTTAACCCTATTTACAAAGTAGCATAATTTAAAGTAAATGTAAACTTTGAAACCATGGATTAATTCTCCTGTGCCTCACCCTGGTATGTTGAGAGAGAAGTGCTGAAGAGCAGTCACATTATTGGAATGGAATTTATGCATATGGATGTAGTTGTTGCAAGATAGATTGTTGTATAATACAGGTTTTTCTTTAGTTTTAACTTGCTTTGAATGAGGAGCTTACTCTTGGATAAGAACTTTCCCAGCATGACATTAGGTTGTTCTATTCTGTACTCCTTAAAATTCATATTTGTGAAGTAAAATGTTTGCATAAAGATGTGGAGTACAGGAGAACAGGGCATAGTAGGTTGCATCCATTTCACAGACTGGCTCTTTGATGTGTATATGTATGAAATCTGTGTGAATTCTCATGGAGTTAATTAATTAGTGTTAATTGAGAACCATGTTTTGTCAACATAGTTGTGCCATGTACTTTTTAAAGATTGAAAGTTGTGGAAATGAGTGGAATCCCTTTCCATGCACCACAGATTATTTGAAGGTTGCAAAAATTCATAGAAGTAATTTTTCTTATAAAGATGTTGAGGCTTTTTAGAAATTAACTATAAGATAGATGAAACAAAAGTGTATCTTTTGTGGCTTTTTAATGAAGAATTTTTAACTAACATGAGTCCAAACACTGTTAAAAACTAAGTTGACCAGCAGTTTTTCCAAAGGATTTGGAGGTAAGCATTACACCTCACAGGGAGAGAGGAGAGAAAGTTCATCCCATCTGCTTATATCTGTAATTAGAGTTGGTCTTCACACAGACAGCCCATTTTACAGTACATTTGTCAGGTTTTTGTGTTTGAATAAGGCTCAATTGTACTTTTATTAGGCTTCAGAGGTAGTATGTTGCAGAACCCCAGTTTGGTGAGAAATGACACTTTGGCTGTCTTTCTGGTCTTAGGCCACCTCATATTCATTGACTTATAATTCTGGCCTACTTATTCAGCTTGCAGGCCATGATGCCTGACTGAAGTGTTTGCCATTTTTCTCTCAGTCTTGTTTTTGGTTCATGGTAGCTGTGGCATTTCATCTCTTCCATTCATGTTTTTCTTCCCAAAAGTAGGGGTAATCTTGCATATGTCTGCTTCTCTTGCTAGTATACTGAATTTTGAAGCACAGCACTGTTTGTATGGTGTATTAGTGTGTCCCAGCATGCTGTTCCCAGGGCTTGCATCAGTCACAGGGGTGGGAAGGGTCCAAACAGAGCAGACCCTCAACAAGCTCCTGATGTTGCTCTGCTAGCAAATAATGCATCTGGGAAACTGAGGAACTCCTTGGTGCTTCAAAGGAGCAACTTGATGGTAGGGTACACAGAATACCTGGGCTTGGATAATATTGGAGGTTATGGGCAGAGATCAAAAAGACCTGATGCCACCATGGAATTTGGTCATTCTGAAGAAGATTGCCACCACAAGACTACAGACCTTGCTGCTGAAGAGTTTCTTTCTAGTTCTGTATTATATAGATAGAAAAGAGCAGTTCATCAGACCCTCTGCAATGTATTTATTTAATGTGTGGTCCTGTACTTTAACTTTGAGTATCATTCCTGAGATTTCAGCTTGTGGTTTCAAATAGCAATGATTTACTAAGTTGACACCTTTTTTTAAAAAAATCACATCGATTTTTTGGTTTTGTTTCTTATTTAAAAGCACCATAGCAATTATTTATGAAGGTATATATTACTGATCAGTTTTGCAACAATGTTTCAAAGTTTTTGTATCTTATGTTGTGACATTACATTTATAGGTGAGGTCAGAAGAGAAATGTTGGAAGATATGCAAAATAAATTAATGAACCTTATGAACAGCACAGAAGGAAAAGTGGACAAGTAAGTCTTTAATGAAAGATTTGGTCTAAGTTTTTGGGTTTATTCCTCTCAGTGTGCAGATGTGGCACTCGCAGTTGCAGGTGTAGTAGAGGATTGTACTTCTGTATGTTGCCTTGTAATTACACTTCTCTTATTTTGACATTTTTCAATTGCTTGGTGGTTGTAAATAGTCATTTTGATTAGTAAAACCAATAGACATGTGACTTAGGCTCACTGATTTGTTTCTTAAGCAGAAGTGCACTTCTGTAGCATCAGCTCTGCAAATGGAGATAGGAGTTCTTAATGAGCATATTTTATAATGTTCAGGGTGTGAACAGCAAGCCTTTTCATGTGTCTGCATCACCTGGATGTCATGTAAATCTCTTCCTTGGTGCCTTTATTTTTTTTTCTTTTCTACCCAGCAGAACTGGAACAGGGATAGGCAGATGGGCTCCCCTGCCCCCTTCATTATGTCTTGGTTTGGGACTACACAGAGCTTTCTTTTTAAATGCTCTGCTGAATCAAGATCTTAGAACAAGGATTTTCTCTGACTGTAGTATGTACATCCAAATAGCTCATATTACCATTCAGTTTCACTTCACTGCATACAGTATTGCTATTACTGTCCAAATCCACACTGTGTAAGAAATAACTTAGAGGAAATTGGTGAGGTACCCTTTAGTTATTTGTATTTGGTGTGTTTATTTATATTACTGTAAATTAGGGAAGAGTATGAGGAATAAATGCATCAATATTGTCGTGTCAGCTGTTACACAATAGCAGCTTGTATAACTACCTTCTTTTATTCTGCAGACTGTTGATGAGAAATCTCTTCATTGGTCATTTTCATACTCCAAAAAATAAACGTCTTGAAGTGTTAAGGTTGATGGGAAGTATTTTGGGACTGAAAAAGGAGGAACTTGATCAGGTAATACTTTGCAGAAAACGAGGCACTTTTTTTTTCTTTTTCTTTTTTCTTTTCTCTTTTTCCTTTTTTTCTTTTTTTTTTTTTTCCAGTATCCTTGTCTGAAAGTAGAATGACTTGCTGCTGAGGTAAATGTCCCTGCACATTTTGTAGGGAAAGTGTTTTTTCTTCTTTTGTCTCACCTTTTTTTATATGGGACTTTTTAATGTTTTTTATATGATGATCTTCATCTTTTGATAATGTTGTTTTAATAGGGTAGATTTCATTTTGCTGAGGAATGCTGATGCAGAAAGGAAAGCATTTTGTGCTGTTGTGTAGAGTAGCTGTAATATATCAGTTACAGAAAAGTAAGCCTGTTATATATGTACCAGTAGTTATTGTGGAAAATGTGAGGCTTATGTTTTTAAATAAAGAGGCAAGTTTTTAGACTGCCATCTCTTTGGGAGGTGGAGAATATGGTTTTGACAACAATAAAAATTTGTATTTATCTCTAAGAGTGACACATTATGTGGAATTGCATCTTGTATTTATTCACTTTCTTTTATGTACTGCTTTATTTTTGTTGTTTCCTAACTTTGTTTTCCTTAAATACTTCTCTAGTTACTATCTGAAGAGCAAAGAGGAGTTACAAGATGGGTGACTGGCTGGCTTGGTGGAGGAGCTGGGTCAAAGAGTGTTCCTAGTACACCTCTGAGACCAACTCATCAGAACATTTTTAATAGTGTAAGAATTAGTCATTCATTCTCTTGGTTTGAGTGGAAAAATGGGGAATTGCATATTAATGCCCTTCAGTATATGCATATTTGGCTCATCAGTATATTGAGCTACATTTACTGGTGCTGCTGTATTTTGCCTTAATTGTTTTGTGCAACTGCTTTGGCAAAAGGTTTTTTCCTGCACTAAGGAAATATTTAGACATTGAAAATTAGACAGTGATAAATCTTGTCTTCTAATACAGAAGACAATTACTGTTCCACTGGTTCCTGGCATCACTCTCTCACAATATGGACTTGATCTTGCAAACTATGAATGCTGGAAGTTAAATGTATGTGAGAGTGTGGAATTACACAATTCTCAACAGTATAGAATATGATGACATTGTATTTTGATGATTGTGTTCCCATATGTCCTTTAAATTTAAATTGAGAAGCTTTTTCAGCTGCTGCAGCTAGTGACTCTTATGTACAGCATATAAAACTTATATTTTAAGTTTTCAAATAGTTTAAAATAACAGATCTCATAGCATGGTCCACAGGAGCAGTTTATCTATGGAACTTTCCATTTTGCAGGCCAGTAAATAATATACTCAAGGACCAAGCACTGAGGGATTGGAGTTTTTGGATTGACTGTTTTTTTTGCCCAGTTGAGGTAGAAATATTGAGAATGGATCTCTGTAAAAAAACCAATCCCTACAGTTCAAGATTATTCTCCCTAAAATAGTGCAGGCACATAGGCCACTAAAGGACTGTGGTCTGATTAACTGTAGAAGTAAAAGAGAAAAATTAATGCTTCTGTATGAATAGGACAGACTTTACTAAGCCAAATTTTATCTTGTCATACTACCAACATCTTAATCATTCCATGCTTCATTTATTTGAGATTCTTTATGAAATAAAGCATGCAGGGCCTTTAAGAGAAAAGATTGGGTTTTATGTGTTTCTGAGGGAGAGATTGGTTGGGTAAAGACTAAGGAAGTACTGTAATGTCAGTAATAGCATGGAATTCTTGAAATAACTGGCTTAAATCAATAATGGAACCATGGTAGAAGTATGTTTGTTGTCTTTAGAGTTTATCAGTTTTATATAAATGCCTCTTAGTGAGACAACAACAAAGAGTGTATTTTGAAAATAAATTTGTCTCTCACTGAGGACTGCTTAGTACTAAGTACAAGTAAAAAATTGATTGCAGGGCACTTGACAGCTTTTTATTTTATGTATATATGTATTTTTGACTTAGTGCTTTTCACCAGAGCATCAGTGAAATATAATAACTAGTAGCTTCTTATAGTCTTTTTCAGAACTGTTCGTGAAATTCCTTGAAACTGAATCTTCCCCAAGCCTTCCCCCACCCAAGCTCTCTGTTCATCACATGAAACCTTTAGGAGCAGCAGGAACTGGTAAAACTAGCAGTACTCCACCCAACAGTCAAATGCAAGGTAACATTCTAATCTTTACACAGAACATAACTAAGGGTAGAATTTTCAAGAGGATTTTAATGCTTCTGTGCTTCCTCACTTGTAAATTAAGAACTTGATTTCTTCTCCCCAACCATGTCCTACTTTTGTCTTTTTTTTTTTTTTATTCTTCTCCTGTCTCTCCTTCCCATTGCATCTATACCTCACTTTCTAAACTCTCAATAGAGAAGATTAGAGGAACCAAATTCTCTTTGATACAGGAAGGATTTAACAGCAGCTGTTAGAGTCAAACAGTTGCTGTGTAGACAACTTCATAGAGTGTAGCAGTGAACCCAGTCCTGATTTTCAGCATCCCTGTTGATCAGCTTGTGTTGAAGTGAATGAGGAATGCAAGTTAATACAATTTTGCAGTGTCTCTCTGGTGTGTGTAGAACCTGGTTGCTCAGAGAGAACCAAAACAAAATCAGTTAAGTGTATGGCCTGGTATGAAATCTCTGTAAGCTGTGCAGAAGTGTTGACTTTTTCTAAGACAGAGAACAGTTCAGCTTGTATTACACATGTTAAATTAATGGACTTTTGTCTTAAATAATTTAAAATTCATATCTTCAATTTAGCTAGTCCAGTTTGGACCTAACTTTTTACAAATGTTTAGGACTTCACCCTAATATAGGCCTGCTGGTTTGCAGAAGCTTGCTTTGTTTGAAACTTAGCTGTAAACTCAAAAGAAAATTAAAACAAAAAGCCCGGAACACCAAACCCCTAGATATTAAATGTATGTACAGAGATAGCAAGAGATGCTAAAAAACCCTCTTTCAATTCACCCAAAGTAGTTGATTGTTACAAAGTGCTGTTTATTTATGGGGATTTTCATGGGGCTGACCCTGGAGAAGCTGTGCCATGTGTTGGGAAACCTTCCTGTGCTCTGCACTGTAGTGCATGTGCCCTTACACCTGTGCACAGTGCTGGAGTCAGTGAGACAGATCCTTCATGTCTGGCACTGCAAAGGTGAACTGCAAAGGGTGTTCATGTTGCCTGTCAGATGTGCACATTTTCCTGGGTAGCTTGAGCTGTTACAGAGTTTTGGTGGTGGACTTGGCATTGCTGGATTAACAGTTGGACTTGATTTTAAGAGTCTTCTCCAACCTAAAGGATTCTATGGTTCTATGAGAGCAGTCAGAGACAATAAGAGTCTTTGAAGGTGTCTACAGTCCATGGCTAGGAGATTTTCAAGGACTTACATGTTGCAGTTTTAGAACATGTCTCTGAACAAATGCTGAAAAATTGGATAGATTTAGGAATGCTTTTAAACAGTGTTTTCATTGTTGGTTTGGGTTTTTCTATATTCCAGATTCTCCAGTCTCAGGAGTGGGTAGAAGACCAGATGCAAATCCATTTTTAGCACCTCGATCTGCAGCAGTGCCTCTCATAACACCAGCTAGTAGTTCTGGACATCTGCTTATGAAACCTATTTCTGATGCATTGCCTACTTTTACACCACTGCCAGTGTCCCCTGATGCCAGTGCTGGTGCTGTTTTAAAAGACCTCCTAAAACAATAGATGACCTTGTATCAGTACGATGATAGCACTTTAAGGAAAGTGAGAACACTATGTTGTATATAATTTACCACAATGAGGCCTTCTGTAAAAAGTCATGTATTTGATTGCAATTGTACCTTGCTTTTCTTGTACTTACAAACTTATCAGTGCTTCAGAAATTCTAATGGTGGAATGAATAATTGCCTTCTGTATAGCAGGCATTAATTTTGGGTGTGGGTTAAATATTTAACTGAGAAAAAAATCTATCTTGTTGTTAGATTGTCACAAGACAAATTAAAGGATTTTTAAACCTTAGGTATACTTGGTTCGTTCAGATATGCATAGACAGTATTAACTCTTTGGTGTTGAAATTTGTTTTTCCGTTAAAATGATCTGCCATCTATGTTCAAGAACCAGACTAAAAAAATAAATTAAACAACCGATTAATGGTGTTTATTTCATGTACTTTTGGACACGTATTTCTTATTTACAAGTTTGATTGCATTTGGGGGCAATTTGAGGCACATTAATCTCTTTGCACAATGATTTGGTTTGCCCCCCCCCCCAGACTAAGAGCTGTTTTCAGCAGTCAAACCCATCAGCACCAAGGAGTTAACTGTGGAAGTGAGGCTGCACATCCATGTGAAGAATGGGTAATTTAGCAGGTGAGACATTCACATATATATAAAGACACTGTGCTCTAATGGTCCAAGGTGTATATATGAGAGAATTTTTATCTTGCAAGATTTTGTAGACCCAAATATAGACTTAAAGCTTGAACACATGTATAGAATTAAAAGGGAGGAAGGTGCTTGCTTATCTCAAATGTGTAAATAGGTCTTTGTACAACCAAGGCCAAAGTCAATTATTCTGTAAATTTTGCTGTGATAACTTGTACACTTTGTTGAACAGGTAAAGAATGAAGTTGCTTACTAAAGAATAAGAGTCATCCTCATAGTGAATCTGAGATAAAACATCTTCAGTTTAAAATGTGTCATTTCTATGTCTTTTTATATGCCTCTCCTTGTTAAGTCAGTGTTAAGATAACTGTTGTGCAAGTTCTATATTAGAACTGTCAACCTTCTTCATTTTCATTAAGGTTCTGGATAAAATTGTTGTAAGAGTTATATTTAAATAAAACAAATTAGTGAACTTGTACAGAATCAACCAAAATAATGCAAGAATTCTTTGCATTTATTTATATAGAGGTCATATAGTGAATTTTGTTTATTGCCTTGAAACCTAGCAAAGGTTTTTTATTTGTTGTACTTACTTTAAGAGCTGTTTGAATCCCTTTTCTCCAGTATAGTAATGTTTCATGGAAAACTTAGTAAATTTGTAACTGGATTGACCTACCATATTGGATTTTGATTTTAATTTTTTTACCCAATTATGGACAGTTTGGCAGTTTGATTTCTGAAAAGACAGCAGCCACATATTTACCAAAGTAAATTTTGTGTTATGTAGTAAATGTAATGAGAATGTCAAATTACCTCAGCTGAGAATATTGCAGTTAGATACTTCAAATCTACATCTTCATTTAAACTGGACTGGAACAGCTACTTTTTTCTATATAGCAATTATAAAGAAAAGTGAAATCAGATGGCTTCTGTGCAATCTCTCTTGGTCTTGTAGTCATGTCTGTTTAATGATATATAGCTGCTTCACAATAAAATTGCCTTTTGGTGAGCCAAAGCAGAAGGAAATGGTTAGTTTTTAAAAATTATGTGACTTACGTGTTGTAAATTACAAATGGAGTCATGCTGCTCACAATTCTCTGAAGATACTAACTGTGCAGTTCTTAACTTTTTTAATGCATTATTTTCTTCTTTAACTGCAGACAACTTCATATGTACACATTTCTCTTTCAGGGAGCTTTCTAAATTGCAATAAAGAAAACATAGTGAGACCAATTATTTCTGCATGCTGTAAATCAGTTCTGTTTATACACTAAGCTATGAGTTTGAAGAGGGAAATCTAATACCAAGCAGAGGTACTGAAGAACTTCAGAGTTCCTCATTAAGCTCCTTGATGGAGACAAAAATCTTCTACAGCAGAGATACAAAGTGCTTCAGTCCTTAAGTCCTAGAAGGTGAGCTCTGTTGAACATGACTTAGAGGGTTCTTTTCTAGGGCTTATTCCACAGGTACATTGGTGAGATTTGATGCTGTGTTAGAAATCAACTGGGCTCCGTGTTCCAGGCAGTACTTTCGTGCAGAACAGTATAGAACAACTTCATTGTTTTGTTTCTTTCTTCCTTCTTTGAATGTTTCACAGACCATTACAAACATTCAAGCTTTGTTTTCATTGAATGATTAGTAGATATATTTTTTCCTATAATTTTTCTTCTGTGTTTACATTGTTCTTGATAACTGTTCCATATATAGTTGTCTTACCAGTTTCCCACATGTAGATACGTGACTCATGTAGTCTGTCCTGTTGATTGTGTGGGTTTTTCACACAGCAGCATGAGTAAAAAAATCTGGAATTTGTGAACAAGGTGCAGCAGCTGAAATTTTTCATTCTTTCATTTAACGTAATTGTTTTCTGTGGCTTTTGCAAGGAGAAAGGTGTCTGATTCTCCTAGTTTTGGTCTAACAAGCTGTCAGTTATCTTTAGTTGTAAGGTTACAGAATTCTAGTAACAGATTCATTTTGCAAGCTTGATGTAAGGGGGGGAAATTAAGGCTAGGGTTTTCTGTTCTTCTCCTTAGACTTTCTGATTTTTTTGCTGTTCTTTGCTTATCCTGCATTCCATGCACAGAGAAGGAAGTAACTGCTTGATCTTTCTAGTTGCCACTGTAAAGGAATGCACAGTGTGGGGTCTGGGAGTTTTTAAACTTCCCTGCATTACACCAGCTAGTCACTGCAATATAAATTCACACATTGTAAGGACCAGTGTAGAAATAACTGGGTTTTTTACCAAGTGCCAGTCCCCTGCATTTTATTATTGTTTCTTTTTGTCATTCTTGACTCATTTGCATAAGTAGTTACCAATAAGGCAGGCACTCTGGACTACATGTTGGAGTGACTGATGGCTAAAGCAGAAGAAACAGAATGGAAGATGCTTGCCTTGTAAGTATTTCACATTATTACATATCTCATGAAGACTTTTCAGTTCATTAAGGTCTTACTGCTTGTGTTGATACACTGCTGGGTTTTTGGTATTTTCATAGAATCATGAAATGGCCTGGTTTGGGAGGGGACCTTCAAGATCATCCAGTTCCAACTCCCCTGTCCCCTTTCACTAGGCCAGGTTTCTCAAAGCCCCATCCAGCCTGTCTTTGAGCGCTTCAGTGAGGGGATCCACAGCTTCTCTGAATGACCTGTTCCAATGTCTCACCACCTGCACATGGAAGAGTTTATTTTTAGTATCTAATCAAACCCTACCCTCTTTCAATCTACAATCTGTGGGAAAAGTGAAAAAATATTATGATATTTGAATTATAGTCAACTATTACTAGAAGTTTTTGCCAGTTATTGATAGAAGAGAGCTTAGAAGCCGTGTGACGTGGCATTTCAACAAGCACTGACAGGCCACAGACCAATGGTATCAGGGAAACAATTTATACCCATGTTTTGTGTTTGTTAACAAAATGAGTGAGCTGACCCTTGTACCAACAAACTGGAATGTTCTCTCTCCCTTAGTGTAAAGGACACTCTTCAGAGAGCTGCCTGGATACTGTTTGAATATCAGCCACATTTGAATATTACCACAAAGGTAAAGGGAATCTTGGCAGTACCGTGTGGTTTATCCCAAGGTTTTCATTTTTGACATCAGATGCTGCCTGCATTTCCCCCCAGTGAATTTCCAGATGGTCATGCAAGGTGGATTCAATTGCAGCATGATCACCTATGGGAGTACAGACCAAGGAGGTTTTACAGATTTGAGGCAGCTAGGAATTACTTATTTCATGTCACTTATGAAATACTAGCTATCAGCCAGCACTATAGTACAGCCACTTAGTATCTAATTTATGTTGGAATAGTCCAAGGGATTAGAAAAAAGAAGTGTTTAATGTGCTCCAAGTGGTGCATATTTTGTCATTTGGCAGCTTTCTGCTGAGGCTCTCCTACAAGGTGAGCAAAGTCAGATGGTTGATTTTTAGGTAGTAAAAACTGACCAGTGGCATCTCCTGACTCCCTAGAATGGAAGCACTGTTAAACAACCCTCTGAGAACAGAATGCCAAAGAGTTACAACACTTCAAATCTAACTTTTTGTAAACGGGGGAGTAGGGAGCTAAGGCTGTTCTAAAGTTTTGAAAATGATTTTGACCTTTTCAAGGCTGCAGAGAAAGACAGAAGCCCACATTAAGTTTGGTGGAGGCAGCTGGATTTTTAGAACTAAATAAAGCTACCCTCATCCATCCAACTTGGGTAACCTGAATCCAGGAGTTTCCTGAACAGGTAGTGTAGTATGACCAAAAAAATATATTTAGCCTAAGCCACAAAGGGGCAACTGGATGTAAATGGAGCAACAGTTACAGGTAGTAGCAGTTTGAGTAAAATCAGGGATAACAATATTAGTTCCTAAATGGGAACAAGTATAAGAGATGCAAGCTGCAAACATTATTTCACAGAATCCATTAGGTTGGAAAAGACTTCTGAGATCATTGAGTCCAAGCTTTGACCAAACATATCTTGTCAGCTAGACTATGGGACAGTGTCATTGCTTAACAACCCTTTCTGTGAAGAAATTCCTCCTGATGTCCATTCTGAACCTTCCCTGGGGCAGCTTGAGGCTGCTGTCCTGTCATCTGGTTGCCTGGAAGAAGAGATGCTGACTCCCAGCTGGCTACATCCTCTTTTCAGGTAATTGTAGAGAGTGATAAGGTCACTTTCTCAGGAGAATAAAGATCATGAGAGTGGTTCCAGACACTGTTTGGGGGCAGGTGTCCAAGAAGCTGCATAGAGAAAGCAAAATAAAGGATTCAGGTTTCAACTAGTCATGGAGAAAACCAACCACAGATTGTAAAATTAACCTTTATGTAAAACTTGTTTCCTTATCTCCTGCAGTACTTTTCCTTATTTTTATTAGATGTTACAGTATTTAAGTCATGCTTTTGCTTGTAATAAAAAGGTATTTTTCAGAATTACAAGCAAATTACTGAGTTGATTCTGGTTCACCTATGTGTTTTGGTTTACATGCCATAGCATGGATACAATGCTAAATTGTAGCAGGAGTAAAACTATAGTAAGGAAAGTGGTTTGAATGGTAGACTGCAGCATTGAAAAATAGTAATTAAAACTGAAACTTTTTCTGGAAATAGATTTGGAAAATATTTAGACTGCACTTCGCTCTACTCTTAAGTAGTGGGTGCCAATAAAAATGAAGGCAAACAGAACACTGCCTTATTTTTGACAATAGGAGCAGTAACAGATGTAACAGTTTTCAGCTAACTTAGAGAAGGCTTATTATAAAACTACAAAAATTTGAGGAGTACAGGATTCTAAAGAAAATGAATGAGTCATAACTAGGATTGCCAGATCTGTCTGGACCCAGCTGCAGACTGAATAGCACATTGTCTGCAGAGTGCTCTGGATGAAGGACCTGCAGAGTGCCACTGCAGGCAGAAGGGATGCAGGTGGTACCTCTGTTCTTTCTGACTCTGAACAGAGTGTGCTTCCCAGAACCTGCCAAGTAGGCAGGGCTGGAGATTCCAGGAGCCTGCCGCACTCTGATGTTCTCCCCTGAACTGAATGAGTGGTTCCAACTGCCTTGTACAGATACTTAAATAGCCTGATGCCTTGCTGGCAACCTGAAGCCTTCACTGCCCTGGCCAAATGGGGCTGGGCAATCTAGTTCATAAAAGGAAAGATTTTCACTGGAAACTCAAATGGAGTTGGCTAAAGCCAACTCATTTCAAATGCATGGAGCTAGAGTAAATGCAAAAATAAATCTCTACACCTCTATATGGAGCAGAGCTATGTTTCTGAGATAGGTAGTTCTTAAGGATTTTCTCCAAGAAAATCTATGCCTAAAAAATCTCCAAATCCAAATTAAGGGTCTTGGAAAAGACCCTTAAGATCATTGAGTCCAACCTTTGATGGATCATCACCACATCAACTAGACCATAGCACTAATGACACTTGCAATCATTTCTTAAACACCTCCAGGGATGGTGACTCCACCATCTCCCTGGGCAGTCCAT